CTGGAGGGAGGCAGCAGTACTCGGGGAGTGCGGGCTCAGGATTCTGAACGTAGAACCAGTTTGCATGCCAGCCTTTGTTTGAGGTTTTGAATGGTATGGAGAAATATTTTTGGCTTAGTGTTCCCCTGAGTTGGAAACCGGCGCCCCCAACAACGCACGGTTTGCTCTTGTTTGGCTGGGGCTTGAGGAAGAAGATACGGCGGAACAAGGCGAAATGAGGCCTAATGCCCAGAAAAGCTTCGCAGGCATGAATAAAATTGGCGATATGCACTATGGAGTTTGGATTCATATGATGCAAGCTAATCCCGTAGAAGTTCAGAATTCCCCGAAAGAATCTTGAGGTTGGAAGGGAGAAACCGCCATAGAAGAAATGAGCAAAAACCACGATTTCGTGTGTATCGGGGGTCGGGAATGCTTCGCCAAATGCTGGTCGCCACCCGATGATCTCCTTCGCTGGGAGAACGCCGTGCGCCACCATCTCCTTCAGATTATCTTCAGTCACATCGGAGGGCGCCCACTGACTCTCGAAGCTTTCTTTTTCTTCTGCCATGAATGTGAACTGGAGGGTTTGATTTGGTCCGAGATATGGCTGGAGAGGAGTGGGGAATCGGAGCGGTGGAAGCGGGGAGAAATTTCGTGAAGTTTTTGAGGATGGATTGGGGCGGATTGATGAACCCTAGCTCCATCGGCGCGGTTCTGTACTGTAGCACGGAGTGGGGAAATGGCGAAAGTCTCGGTGGGGACGAAGAAGCGACGCTTGGACTTCGGTGCTTTTAGGGTATCGGGACAGTACTTCAGCCCAATTTTGTTATCAGCGTGGTTAGTTGTGATCCTTAGGGATTGAGGCACTTGTCTTTGCTTCGGCAACATTTGCTCGCAATAATATAGCCCAATGCTGTTAAAATCCTTTTTGATGCAGTTAGATAATTCTTTAGAATTACTACGATGCAAATAAAAAGGTGTCCAACGGAAAAGTGTTATACTGATTTTGTGGGCCTTTTTAGGCTGCAAAAGCTGTTTGGGTTTTCTTGAGATGACTGTTTTAATATAGTCATCCACTCGGCATGTTATATGCTTAATTTGGTTATGGTAAGAGTCATAGCTTAGGCTATTAGACTCGTTGATTACCATAGTTTTTATAATGTTTGGTGGATCATTTTAAGAGTTCATTATCTTGTTTCGACAATTGCCATGGGAAAAAAAGGAAAAAAAAATCCCCAATCCCTTCATCCACCTGCACAAAACTATATCCCCTATGATCTGAGCTCCAAATTTACAATGTTTGACCTTTCTGGCGGCTGCGGGGGTGGCGATTCATGATGTGCTGGAGTAGGGATGGAGCGAGCTGGCGCAGCCGGCGGCAGTTGAGCTCGGGCAGCGCCGGCGTTACCACTGCGTAGTCAACAGAGAGCAACAGCAGATTGAAGCAATCTTCTCGGGAGAACGTTCAGAGCTAGCTTGCTATTTGGATGCTTCTTGTTCTTGGGGTCACTGATAGGCAGCTTGCTAACCAACAATTCAGAAAAAATGGAGGCTGAGGAGGCACGGCGGCAAGCGCGCAGCGCGAGCCATCGCCGGAGGAAGAAGATGAACAGAGAGAAAGAGATGAAATATGAGATTGACGAGTGGGCCCGACCATTAAAATGTTAACTAAGAAGTTAATGACATCAATTATACAGATGGCCCCGTGGGCAAACTTGTCTTTTATGAAAGTTTTTTTCTCCGTTTCCACCAAAAATAATAAAATAATACGGTGGGTGTCCAGTAGCTAATTACCATATTTTTACAGTGTCCACGAGAAGATACGCGTTCTTTGGGTGTCTCACAGCAAATGCCACAAACTTTGAGTGTCCTGTAGCAAATTTTGCCTATTTAAAAAACCCTTTATCTAGGTTAAAAAAACACATATAGTAGAAATAGATATGAAACAACTCCACTATTCCATAATCGTGACACATGTTTTCATAAATTCAAGGTTGTACGGTTTCAAGTAATATGTCTAAACTAGATATCAACGAAAACATGTTTAAAATAGAGTCAAGATCTATTTTAAAAATATTATATACATGTAAACATTCGCAACAAAAATTCAAGCAACAATAAATAAGTGCCCGCGCATACGCGCGGGCTACCTTCCTAGTTTTTCTATAAATAGTAAAATATCGGTTATTTCTAAAAAGAACACATATATATCTATATACCTAACTAAAAAAATACGTAAGGATTCCGGGAATATTTTCGTCCGTCATCGTCATCGTCCGCATGTATACGCGATTTTTATCTACTTGAAAAGGCTTTAAGACTGGAACTCTAGGGTTTGCTATAGGGCCCAATTCGACACGATTTTACTCTAATTATTGGGAAAACGGAAAGAGGATGATATAAGGATCGAAACCCCTCAGTTAATTTTGAATTATCTCCAGGGACGCGGATGGATTCTATGGAGGAGGTGGCTTTCAGCAATGTCGGGCAGTTGCAGGAGTCGACAGAGGTAGGGGATGACACTGTGCACTCGGACCCACGTGACAGTGAGAAGAGAAGCAAGGGGATGCTGATTAGACTTGTGGTTGCTAGATGGGCCGGACGCACGCTCGCAGGCCGAGGCAGAAGGGAGGAAAACGGGCCGGTTCAGCTGTGGGCTGAGGCAAGAAATGGGCTGAAAATGGCCCAGAGAGAAAGGAGGGTTTTTATTTAGATTTTCATTTAAATAAATTCTGAAATGATGTTTGTATTATTAAAATTAGCAATTGAGCTACGAAATTTCCCAAAAAAAAATTCAGATAATGTAATTAATTATGGAGAATTTAATAAAAATTAATTCCATTATTTGGGAAATTTTATTACCCACATTTACCTGATTTTCATGATCCTTTCTTTTCTTCAACATCATATACATGTGTAATTGTGATTTCATATTTAGCGGGGATGAAATAGAAATAGAAATTTGTAAATCTTTCTTATATAATTTCATACATATAGTTTCTTTATGAAGGATGATGAAATTTATATTTTAATTAATTACATAATGTAAATCTTTCTTGACTTTTCCTTATTTTTCTCGTGTTTTCTTCCTGTTGCAATGCACTGGTATTTTTTCTAGTATTTATTAAAATATGCTCATGTGGGATCTTGTTATAAAGATTAAATTGCAACAAATATAATGGTGTAATTAAATTGTAGATCGGATATGTTATAAAGATTAAATAAATCATTTAAATTTTTTTTTGAAAAAAGTTATCAGTAGTACTGCATCTATTAGGAGAAGTGAGAGATCAGCTGTTTAATTGAATGCATATGCCATGCAGCAAGTAGCGCATAACAGCTTGGGTGTATTATCCAGACTAGCTTTGCGTGTACAAGTTGAATTGTTCTCAATCAACGGATGGATATCGCACGGCCAAATAAGCGTCTGATGTTAGTGTTCCAATCGAACATCCGAGCGCTAGTCATCTCCCTACTTCAAGAAAAGGGGTATTTTGGCAATTAGGCAGGTTGTCACACTCGTGGAAGTGTAGTTTGATCATACAGTTTTGCTATACTACTGTTGACAGATGAAATTCGTGCTAGAAGCCTAGAAGCAGATAAGAAAAAAAATTCAGGTGTTTCTTTCCCGTGGTTGCAGCGAGATCGAACATGCGATCCTCGAACCTCCACTTGCAAGTCAGCACTCACGAGCACTAGCCTTGCCCCAATGTGACTTTTAGCCAATTGCGTAAAAGTTACATGTTACAGTATTTTATATCCTAGTTATAACGTAATTATGTTATAATTATATTTTAATTATATTCATCTTTTAATGAAAAGGTCAAAAGTTATATAGTTACATTGCACACTAACCTACCAGATTGGTCTTTCTCTCTAAAACTTTAGTCCCTAGGGGAGTGACTTATTTTTTGGAGAAGTCCCTCTCTCCCAAACACTCCCTAAGTTCCTCCATTCAAGTTTAAGTTTCAGTGTTTGCATTTATGGCTATTTCAATCTATGATACTCACGAGTGCTTGTAAGGATAAGATATACACCCACAAAACGTGGTCTGGCATATATGTTTGGTATAGTGAAGTAAACATGACGTTTTCACTCAGCACAGGGCTCAATAAAACTTGGCACAATTATATATTTTTAGGGACTTGCATTGAGCTGAAATGCTCAGATTTCCTTTCAAACGACAAAATCTGATCTCAACAGAAACCATTATGTTCTCCAAATCCATCTCTTTTCCGTGCTAGCTCATCCTACTTCAGATCTCCATCATCATGCAAATCCTTCCTTCACCGAACACATCTTCCCCTGATCTACCCCGACTAGGGTTTAGGATTCGACAACCCCTTCTGTTTCAGGCACCGGCGGAATTCGGAATTTCGCGAAATCCGGTAGAAAACCGGTAAATTTCGAACAAATTTCATAAACCAAAATTTGAATACAAATTCCATGAGTTTGCCGACAAGTTCTCGAAAACTGGTCGGTTTTGGTGAAATTCCGATCGAAATCATCGAAATTTCGATCAGTAAGTGTTTCCCTTTTTTTAATTACGGTCGGTTTTGGCCCATGTAAGTGTTTTTCTTTTTTTAATTCTTTATTTTTTTTCTTTCCTAATGTAAGTTTCAGTAAATACACACAATACATCATTTGTTTTCGAAAATTTATATCCCAATAGATTCTATGAATACCATAATATTTATAAGATTTTATTTTATTTTATTTTATTTTCTTTTTTATCAATTCAAATTTAAATTTGGATAAAACTTCTCGAAATCTCATACGGTTTCTACTTTCAAGCCCTGTCGAAACATCAAAATTTCATGAAATCCGGTCGGATACGCAGCACATATTTCTTACTTTCTTAAATTTACATGAATAGCCGGCTACCGAGATACAAAGTTTACAAAAGTACTGCTTAGATCATGGGTCATCCATTTCATATGTATTCTGGATGTTTAAAACGGAAACTGTGCTGTAACGGTGCAAAAAGCATAGGATACCGAGTACAAGAGGAAGCTCACTGACGCACGAACTAAGAGAGTTTAGATTCAAGGTAAGTAGGTAACACGTCTCATGCTGCAGTGCTCAGACAAAGCGCAATGCAAATCGGCAAGAATAAACGACATTAGATAAATTACACAAGTAAACACTTCTGATACATGATACAAAAAATAATAAGAATGTTGAGAACGCAAGCTACTCTAGAAATGACTGCTGAAGGCGTAGCTTATGTTTCTACTTTTATTGGCTGACTCTCGGCGGCAGCAACTATATCATCTCCAGCGACGTCATTTTCTTGAGGTATTTTGTTCTCATCAGTTGCTTCTTTCTGGGCAAGCATCTCCTTCAATCTTCTCAGCTCTACATCTTTTGTTTCTAACTCATCTTGAAGAATGGCCACCTGTGAACGGGTTGTAAGTGAAATGTTATTTTACTCCCTCCGGGTTGATAATACTTGTTGTTTTGGAAAAGGGCACGGTCTCAAAAAAAAACAACTTTGATCATTATTTTTCATTATAATATGTATAAAAGTGTCAACAAATATATGATCTTATTAAAGTACTTTTTAAGACTAATCTATACATGTAGTCACCATATTTGAAAAACAAATATTTTAAAAATGATTTATAATCAAAGACTCTAAAGTTTGACCTCACCTTTGTCTAAAACGACAAGTATTATCAGCCCGGAGGGAGTAATAAACAGAAGAGACTTACAGTGGTAGAAATGATGAAACTTACCATTTCATTTGATCTTTCAACGTCATTTGTTAGACCATCCATGTGTTTATACAGCTCTGAAGACAACAGAAGGATGGTCAAATAACTCAATATTAGCAAAACTAGTGTTCAGTAAGAGCAGAAGGCATTGACTTCATAATAGGTTGGTAAATTAGAATATCTAATGGATCCATATTGACATATGTTAGACTTGCCATATAGGTTTACAAGTTCTAACCAAAAGAACAAAGATGACTAATCCTTAAAGTATATGCCTGATTATCCCTGGCACTAATTCCTAATTGATTCTAGGATGTGCAGCCAGTTCCGCTGAATTTATGTGATGCTTTCAATGAATTAAAAAGTAATGTTGTTTGCAGGTAGACTAAAACATAATATATTGAGAATAATTCAGACAATGAAATACAATTTCAAACAATTTCTTGGGGGAAACAAGCTGGCTACTGGTTTCTTGGTAGTATTCAGGATTTCCGTTCAATCAAGAACTCAGTTCACATCAATATAGTCCCTCAAGAGGAAACTTAGAGAAGTGAAGTTTCACCATTTTTTTAGTATGTTTTTAGAAGCCGCCTAATGAAGTAGATAGGTGCAAAATGTGTGCCTTACCTAAATTTAGTAACTTGAACATATCTGAATTTGTTTGGTCTGAAACCCCCAGCAAACCTCACAAAAAGTTTTGGTTATACTTCAAAAGCTTGGCTGTCATTTGGTTTGAAGCCAACGAATTTGGTGATGGCAACATTTTTAAAATCTAAGAAAATCTAACACCATGTTTGAGCAATCCATGGGAGGCCAAATGCTCACCCCAGCTCCCAAACTTCAATTATCCACAAATAGGTACAGCCATGAGACAATGTACCTTACGGGCGTTGGATCTGGCTGTGCCCAGATCTTGCCATTACCAAAAGATTGGTTTTGGTTGGCTGGAGACATTACAAACCTCTCCACAGTTAACAAAATTTGGTAAAGTTCACATGTACAACTTCAGCAAGGACCATGATACCGTAGCCCATTGATGCTACAGTAGGACCATTATAAACTAGTACAAGGCTAACACAAGCAATAAAAGATAAAAACAAGAATCTTTTGAGAATGTCAACAGACAGCATCACATGTCATTTCAAAAGCTGCATGTGGAACATGTAGAAAGTAATAATACTTATGGTCTTAATTGGTCGATCTAGGGTACTTGTAAGAGATTCAACCTCTGATATGATAGCACATTTATGGTTTGCTGCAGAGACTGCTATGAACATACTTTAATTCTAAATCTATAAGCCATGAAATATTAGACAGACTGAACACAATACAACCACGAAACAATCCCAGCATTCAGAGCCAATGCACTACGAGTACACTGGAAATTTCGTATAATGTGAGTACAGGAGACATGTCGCATCGCATCCTCATTTGGAATGATAACAACCTTGAAAATCCCATTCAGAAATCAAAACAGCTTCAGGAAGCCATGATTGGATATCACAATTGCTAGTTTGTTTTGGTCAAATGGAATCCTCATATACTCCTAGATTAACAAGGCCAAAAATACAAACGGTACTAATTGTAATATTAGGAATTAGGATAACATACACATGCACACAGCTACAAAACATAGACCTGGTAAGTTCTAACTTCAAATGAAATCAGGTGTAAATATTTATCAATGTGTCCAAACATCAAAGCACGAAAGACTGCCAAAGGCAAACAAAAACTCAGGGTATGTGAGATTTTCTTCTTCTTATCAATGTTAGTTTCATTAGCTTACTAGTTGGACTGCATATTCTAAACATGTGCATAAGCATATGCAACCTGAAATTCTTTTAGTTTAGCTTACTAGTTGGCTGCTTCTGCTATCAGCTGAGTACTAGAATTTTTAAGGCAAAATTGGTTTTAGAGCACCGAAAGTTCACATTCTTGTTTCTATAGCACCGAAAGTTACCGGTTCACTTTAATAGCACTGAAAATTGCCTCCGTTCCCCATTTTAGCACTTCCGTTAGTTTTCTACCGTTTGCCGTCAAAATTTTCCCCCCTCTCGAATCGGTTGCGCCATGGCAGCATCGTCCTGCCATACTGCCGGTAGTGGAAGAAGAGATGGCACAGCACGTGTAATCCTTCCACTGCTGGCCCCATCGCCTTGGATCGCTGCTCACCCTTGCTGGACCGATTGCTTGTCGTGAGTCATGACGACCAGTTCATCAGCTCTTCGGTGATGTGTCTCCAGCAGACTCACGTCCATCGCCGGTACCATTGATCCCCATCAATCCTCAATCCTGCATTCCTGCTAACAGGAACCCTCACCGGCATAATGCAACCATGGCCGGCGGAGTAGACGCAACGGCTTGCACGCACTAATTGATGTGCAGAACCGCGGAGTACTGTTGGGAGTGATGCAGCGAGGGGCTCCACGACTCATCTTGCGGCGTTGTGATTCCTTTTGAATGCAGATACTGCCAGTGAATCAAGAAGCCATTTTTCCCCTTCTTTCTTGCAGTACACATGTACAACCAGATTAGATTATACTCCATCAGTTAGTTTCCTACAGAAAGAGTATTAAGTTATCATTCGCTCGGTTGTTGCCTCCACGGTTGGCACCGGCAGATGGGCACCAGTACGACCAGCACCAGCCAGCAAAGCAGCGGGCAGAGGCTAAGGTCACCGCCGGCGAGACCTAGGGTCCGGACTGGTTGATCTCCATGATCTGGAGATTGGCTGAGCCATACAAGTCGACGTTGATGGCAAACAGAGAAAATTGACGGAGTGCCAAAAATGAGAACGGAAGAAACATTAGGATGCTATTAAAGTGAACAAGTAACTTTTGGTGCTATAAAACCAAATTTATGAACTTTCATTGCTCTAAAACCAATTTTGCCAATTTTTAATGATGGGATTCTGTAGACTAAAGAATGCAAAATAACTTCACATCCATTCTGTTTGATACTCACTGTAAGGGAAGAAACTTCTCCCCTTCTTTCCATGCTACTAATATTAAGCGTAAAATTCTTGTCTAATGAAAGATGATCAAGCCATCAGCTCTAAACATCTGTTTTCCCATATAGGCATTCAACGCTTTATGAACCTCAATAGTTCCTATAGTTAAGGGCTACACGCTAGTATAAAATTCACTACATTGTGCAACCAATATTAAACAGGAGGATGAATTAGTCTAGAGTTGAAACAATGTACGTAGTGAGCTAAGAATATAAAGTAGTTGTCCAAATTAATCATCAATGGGCAAAATGGGAAGAAAGGATTATAAAGTACTATCTCTATCCTTTATTATTTTTTGACGTTGGTTAGTTCAATTTGATATCTATACTACTTAAAATGTTAGTAGTGGTGGTGTCTGTTCTGCTACATCACCTCTACAACTGACATTTTTGGTCCGTACAATCTATACTATAAACCACCTTCTAGCGAGTCATCTCCTATTTCACTGCTGATTCTTCCCAAATTTCAAAATCACCTACTCGTTCAATAAGGAAAATCATAAAAGTACTATCTGGACTACATATGTGCTTAATTAACTTAATAAGCTAGAAACTCAAATTGTTTTCCGTTGCAACGCACGGGCTTTTTGCTAGTTACATAAAAAAGCGGAGGGAGAATATATGCATATTACATAACATACCATTGAACTGATTCCTGAGTTCATTGTTCCGAGTCTTCAAAACTGCAATTTTCATTCCAAGTTCATGGATCTGTACCCAAAAATTGTTTTAGAATACAATGTTACAAGTAGTAGGATCAAAAGCCTATCATGCTTTGATGATAGTGATAATAGTGAAAAACAGGTGCAACTATATATATGCTCAAGGTGGCGGACATGCATGCAGGGGGTGGAGGAGAGTGGAAATCAAATGCAATTATTTCTCATGTAATATGTTCGTTGTTCCATGAAAATAAGTAAAAATATTTAGCTCTTTCAGGTGGCAATATGGTCTTTCTGCTCAAATTGTCTCATTTTCCTTCTGCTTGGAAAAGGAGAGATTCAATATTTGAATCAGATTAGATTTCATTCCACTTCCCTATTTCTCAACTTCTCTCATCAGCTATTTCACGTTCCTAAAGAATGAGAAGACAGGTTATATTGGGTTAAGTCTATAAGAGGCTTACTTTTCCTTCAGAAGCCATCGCCCCAATCTCTTCATTTTCCTCTTGCAATGTTCTACACTTGGCCATTAGCATTTTCCCATGTTTACTGGATGGAGTAAAATTGACAGCAGCAACATTGTCCTGTAGTTCCTTGATCTTTTTCTCCTTCTCCTCCACAAGATTCTGGTAAAAAAAAAAAGCAAGTTCCAAGATTGATGCACAAGTACAGTTACTTGCATTAGACAGTGAGCCTAGAAACTGTGCTTTAGCTGTTTAGGCCAAGAAAAATAACGCAATTATTATTCACCCCAAAATTTCAGTCATACCAAATTAAGTTGTCATAGTCATGCCTACTACACCCAGTAGACAATATGATCAAAATACCACATTGCTCCCTTACCCAAAACAAAACAACTGGTCACTTAATGCATATTTTTATTCTGAGAAATATAAATACATTATTTTTGCGACATATGCATGCAGTGTGATGAAAGGCGAAGTTTTGTACCCTTAATACACAATTAAAGAGGATTATAGTCATTGGTTCAAGCAATCCAATAATTGCTTTTTCTTAATTTGTGTCTAGCTATTAGTGCAAAAAATTGCACAAAGATACAGCACAAATATTTAGTTTTGTAAATCTCGCTAACCTTTAATCGTGTAAATTCCTCGTGGATTGCTGGATCAAGCAATAATCTCCTTGTCTGTTCATCATACAGAAAAGGGCATTAAAACAAGTTATCTAAATTGTCAACAGAAGGGAAGGCATTATTAAGAATCATGCTTGTAGGAGATGGACCTTATGTTTAATTGTATTATTCGTTTCAGTGCAATTATTAATCTTATATGAATATAACACTTCAGACTATTACAAGGAGCTCAAGATGTTGGGATTAGAAAGTAGTCTGGCAGTTTGGCACCTGACTAGCACCTCACTAAACATGTTACATAGTAACAAATAGGAATCCTCTTTACTTGGTAAACAACTACAGGTGTGCGTTGCTTGTACATGTCAGATTGTCAGTGTTCCTGTAATATGCAAGTTTAAACAGGCCACCAGATTGACTATGTAACATGTACCCATTAGCCATGAAAGTGTTGCACTAATGGGAGCAATCAACCAACTTGTTACAGATGATCTAGTAATCTACAAGGTATTCTTAGGGACAGAATGTTTTGGAATGATATCTTAATTAGTTGGAAGGATCAAACTGGTTTGTTAGCATCCACATCACATCATTTCTATGAACCAAGATGATTAAGAAGTAAATTCCTGTTTGTGCCTATCTCCCTCTCCTAGAGGTTTTCTCCTCCAGCCACTGTCACTTGGCTCAATGCAGCATGGTGCTTACCCCATATAACATTGCAACACCATATGACATGTCACACAGTTCTCATTTATAATTCCCATTCTTTTGGGTGAATGGTCAGACGAACAGATTCAAAATTAAAATGGCAGAATAAACAAATAGATCATGAAATATCCCATCACAAAAGGAATATCCAGAAAAGACAAAACAAAGAGAAGACCGTGAGCAAAGTAGCAAAGCTATAGATATAAGTTGAGTGGGGTGAAGAACAACACCTCAGCCATTCCATGTAAGCTGTGTGATATGCATCACAAGCATGTAGAGACAAGAATTCCATCGGAGTAACAATATATGCAAATGTGATAATAAGGTTGTTTTATGTTAATATACTGTTCTACTATGTACTTAATAGGTCTTGGATTAACTATTACATGAAGCAAGGACAATGTGTAAGTGCATAGATCAAAGAGAGGATTTTGGAAGATGAATTCTGTACAGTTACATCATAGACATGTATCACAGCATGCTAAGAATTGGTATAGAAGATGCCAAGTGCATGCTACCAAAATATTGAGAATTATCACTATTGAGGCAAACTAGGATGATGAAAAAGCTCAAGGACAAGTACAATATAGCACATATTTTTCTATTCAAGTCTGTTTCTTTGTATCAATGAAGATAACACTTACGAAAGCAACTCTATAATAATAAGCATCAAAGTTTGGAGAACCAATAGCACAAGCAATTTAATGGTTACCTGCATCGATGGTGGCCTTAATTGAGTTTTCAAATCCCTAACTGCAGACTGCAAATTAAATTTTAATGACAATCAGCACAAACAAGACGAACAAAAAGACGAGGGAAAGAGCAACAAAGCAGAAATGGATTGATCAAACATAGCGAGCAGTGGCATAAGTTTCAAACTGTCTTGGCATTCTTGGCCCGTATACTTCAAATCCATTAATTGAGAAGTACAGAATATTAAACAGATTTATCCATATTGACATGTCTTTCATCTCCCTATAGCAAAATGAGGCAGTAAGAGGGTACCTTCAGTTCTGCAATTTCTTGTTCACGTTTCGCAAATGTTACAATGAAAGCCGCCTCTCTTTTCTTAGCTTTCTCCAGCTGAGTATAAACAAAAAAGGTCATATTGAAGCAAATCAAAACTACTTAGCAGATCCGCGAGACAAACATGACAACAAACCAACCTGCTCCTTCAATGATTCTTCCGACGACTTCAGGTTATTGAGATAAGAAACAACCGAAACAGGATCTATACTTAAAATGCATTAATTTACTTTGGTCAAGCTTTAGAAACAATTGGAGAGAAAAGCATTTGATTCAGCAACCTGGATTGGTTCCAGCAGGTACAGCTGGAATGTTCTGAAATGCTGAATGCCACTTTTGAACTTCTGATTTGGCAGCCTCCCGTTCCACCTGCGACACAAGAAAATTCAATATTTCAGAAACTACTTGCTTGATCAAGAAAGCAATATTGGTAAATACTTCATCTCAACTTCTGCACACACTTTTAATTGTAGGTAAATGGATTTCTTTTTCACTAGGTCAAGTGTGAACGTGATAGGCTTTGCAGTTAATGCATTTTATATTGCAGATACTAGCATAATCAAAATTGAACATGCAAAATGATGTACTAATAAAAGAACATTCTTCTATTTCAAAGAGTTGATCTTTATATAAGGAGCTCCAGTGCACTGATATATTTGCACTACAAAACCAAATTTGACTAGAAGATAAAAATATATGATCATTATATCAGACAGGCATACATACTACCTTAGTTGATTTCTGTACAACGTATTTTAATTTCAGGAATGTCTTCAAGACTAAATTTTGACCAGTGATTTCTCCTAAAACAATTCACAGTAAAACAAATATTGTGTAAAAGACTTTGAAACAAGATTATATTGCTGCATTTTTATACACTTAACGTACTAATAGTGCTTTAAATACGTATTATAAGAATCAACAGAGGAGTAACACATTGGCCCCAGAATTCCTCACTAGATACTAAAATTTTCATTTGGGGCCACAATATCATGACTACCATTCATGACCCGAAAGTAACAATATTAATCAATATAAAGCACAAAAGAAAAGATAATGTGATTTCTCTACAGAACATAAAGCACAATAAACTGGCCGCAATATATATTGTACATCCGCCTTATGTTTCTATCTTCTCCAGATTTTTATGATAAATAATAGTATAATAAGTATATTGATGAAAACTCTTTTATTTATAATTGACATATACATGCAAATATATTGTACAAATGAACCAAATATTTACTCTCGGCCACAGGAGTGTGTTACAAGACAACAACTAAACAAGATAGAATTAGGATCAACAAGATTGCATGTCTGCATTCACTATAAAAATGAGAACAGCACAAATGGTGAGGCAAGACAAACCTGACATGACGCAAGATTATCTTTACAGTTCTGCAAACTTCAGGATGGGGAGAAAAGTCAGTACCATGTTCCAAACAAACAATATAAATGATTCTAGTAGCTCTGAAAGCAAAAACAACAATTTTGGTATACCTCTCGCGAAGAGACAGAATCATTCCCGTGGCAGCACCTGGCGCACTTTCTTCCACCTTTGTCTTTCCCTGAACCACAAATTCTTATCTTAAAACATGATCCTAGTTGGTTATCTATAGAATTTCATGCCGTACAGAGCACGATTAGGTAACCAATTACTTAAATCCAAGGGCTAGAAGAAGAACATATTTCAAAATAACGCGGAACAGTACAACCGAGTAGCTTGATTCAGTTTCAAGCACCAAATTAGGTACATGGCGTCTTTCCGTCATCCAGAAATTTTATTAACTAGAAAGCATCTCATTAGTCACTACGGAGAAAATACAAGAAGAGTGAATAGGTTACTACCTTCTTGGAAGCGAAAACGTCCTCGTCATCGTCGTCCAGATCGCCGAACGGCCTCTTCTCGCCTGCACCGAGGTCGTCACCACAGAAACCATAAGAACCAAAGCAGGATTCCCAAAGGAGAAACCATGTACCCTAGCGCGAGAGAACGTCGGAGGGGAAAGGAAAGGGACGGGGAGAGAAAGAGACAACTAACCGGAGCGGGCGGGTGGGGCTGTGGGCGAAGGGGACGAGTTGAAGTCGCGGCCGAAGGCGTCCTCCTCGTCCAGGCGTGGGCTCGGAGAGTCAGCCATGGTGTCCGGCGGCGGCTGCCGGAAGCAATATGTTAGATGGGAAGTCGCGCCGCTCCGGCCGCCGGGAGGGTGCTGGCACACCGACGGCGAGGCGAGGGTTTAGGTTTTGGGTCTCGAGGAAGGGGAAGGGGAACGGCCGCGTCTCAGCGTCTGCACTTTTGGGCTTTGGCCACCAGGGCAACGAAAACTAATCCAAAAGGACTCTCCCATTTTCTTTTATGGAAAAAGTCTGGTTAACCTCCCTTGACTATTAGTCGAGTCTCAGTCGTGTTCTCAACCGAAAGACCAAGTGCAGAGCTACCTATCAAATCCAAACGCAGTTTCATTACACGTGAGGTGCGTTGACATGTTGTTTATGTGACGCTTACTTGGCATTTGCAATCAAAATTGAAGAAAATGTAAATAGCACAGTTGAATCAAATATCGTCCTCATTTCCCTCCCTTTTTCTCTGGTCATGGCATATCTAATGATCGCATGGCGACTAACTTCTCCCCACCACTGCGGCGGGTTAGAGGGGGTGGTGTGAACGCAAAATCTATTTGAGAGGCATCTTGAGTTAGACTTAACAGCGACACCGACAATACATGCGAGAAATACTACTGCACCTCACATACATGCAAGTATTTTTTGCTATTAGGTTTTTTATGTTCTTATGAAGTTTTCTCTTAAATTACTTATCCGATCTATAATTCAATTACACCATTGCGTTCGCTGCAATTAAATCTTTAGAACAAGATCTTACATAATTATATTACAATGAAAAAAATATTTATATTTGTAAATTACTTTTATTACATATGTAAGTTACTTCATATACATAAATTTTAGATTTGACTAAATTACTTCTTAGACATATAAAAGTAAATTCAATAAACTCTAAAAGTAATCTACATATATTATCTCTTATAAATGTAACTTAAAATAAAACGGAAGTAACTTTGTCACGACATTAGAAGTAAATTCGTTGTAGGGATAAAAATATGACTTTATCTACAAATTAAATTTAATCAGCACAGATCAGCACATGTAAGTTTAACGATTTTTAAAAGTAACTTCAATGTTAATTGGAAGTAACTATTGCATGGTTCATAAGTAATTCTCTATAAATCTGTTTAATCACCGATTGTTTTTTCCTTTTATTTTTATTTTTCATGTAGAATGAGAAAAGAAGATAAAACCTTTGGTGAATTATAAATAACATTGATGGAATCACTAATGAGAATTAATCATGTATAAGATGTAATAGTTACTTCTTGATAACGTGGAAGTTATTTTCTAACATATAATAAAGTACTTTTAAATTAATAAACTGTTTGAATATAATCAATATGGATCTCGTTTTGTCACATATTTGAGTGGAGCATAATGATGCAAATAGATCTTAAAAACAATATGTGATTTAAAAGATATAAGTTATTAAAGAGATTAAGAAAAGACACATACTATTGCATTTTTCAAGTTGAAAGGAGACACTAGATGGAGTGGTAGGTGGTTTAGACAAACCAACTACCACTAGCTGTATAGTCACGTCCAATGAAAAAAGTCATGCATTAAAGTTACTTTCTTTTTATCATAAGTTACTTCTATAATATATGTAAATTACTTTTAGACTTTATTGAATTTACTTTTATATGTCTAAGAAGTAATTTAGTGAAATCTAAAAGTAATTTAGATATATTATAAAAGTAATTTACAATTTTTCATCAAAATATAATCATGTGAGATCTTGTTATAACGATTTAATTGTTACGAACATAACGGTGTAATTGGATCGTAGATCGGATGAGTAGTTTAAGAGAAAATTTTATTTGAATTATAGGTGGATAGGACCTCTCATAAATGGAGTGGTAGCTGGTTTAAAAAACCAGTTGCCACTAGCTGTGTAGTCGTCCATGGTGTGAGAGAGGCTCGAGAACAACAACGGTCGGCCTCCAGCTCCTGCTCACTAGCCCTATCCACCACCCGTCATAGAGCACTACAAGGAAGGCAACAGAGGTTGATTCGAGCGCCACGTACCTCAGAAAGCTGACGTGCCTACTCCGACACATCCTAGTATGATGTTGCCTTATTTTGGGATGGAGGGAGTAGGTGGCAAGGATAACGCCAAATCTCATCATCATCCTTTGCACCCGCCTGCCAAACCTGTGACACGTGTTGTCTCTAGAGCAATGGGGAAGAAACTGGGAGTGACAGTGCGAGAAGGGAGGAGGTGTCAATGCCATTCCCGCACCCGCCAGCGAGCTCCAACATGCACGGCCTGAGCTACATCGGGCTCCATCTTTCCCATCGCATTTGTACTGTAGATCTAGCGGTGCAAACGGGAAATGACAAGCTTGCAGCGAAGACAGCGCGACAGCTTCAACTGAGCTCTCAAAGGAGGACGCGTTGACGGCTTTGAGATCATCCCCCTCGCTGCCCTACCTTCCTCTCCGCTTCACTTCATTTCTTCTCCGCCCCGCCTAGCTTCTTTTCCGCCGCCAGCCCCGCCTCATGCTAGAGCTCTGTGCTAGCCTCTTCAACACCACCATCCGACAGTTGTTGTGTCCTAGATCTTGTCCAGTGCCTCACGCTCAAGCTACAGGTTTTGTTCTCCATTCCGTAAGTGGGGCGAAGAGAGGAGGTAGAGGAGTATGAAATAGTGATGTCACTAACATGTGGGTCCCATAGTTTGTTCTTTTTACCTTTTCAAACTATAATGACATCTAGGGCAGAGACCAAGTCAACGTGCCACGTAGGCACACCACGCAGGACGAAACTGATGTCTAAATCATCGAATGACTCAATTTGCACTGGTTTTGATAATTGGATTATAATCTATAACTTGCTTTACGATTGAGGGGAGTGAATGAAATTTGAGCCATAGTTGAAGGACTTACGGTGGACGTTTTTCTTTCTCCTCTACAATTATATCAACTAGGCCTATAGCCCATTAACAGCAGCAGTAGGGGCCAGTCTCCCCTAATGATACTACTAATTTTATCCAACTATTTAGGTTTCCATGCGTTACAATAAGAAGAAAAAAAATATCAACTTAAAATTATACTGGGTGAAATGGTGTTAAATAATAATTCAATGTATATTTACTGTGAACTTGGCAAACACTAGTTCAATAATTATCCAGGGTTTATAAAACCGTGCGGTTATTGCACGGTTATCGTGGCTATCACGTGCGGTAATTTTTTCAGTTTTTGAAACTATGGTATACCTCATGATACCATGCGGTTTTCGCGGTAACCGTCAAACCGCGGGGTGGTGGTAACCCTACCCTAAACTGTTTGGTAGACCGTCAAACCTAGGCACTTAATTTATAATAACTAGGTGAAACCTCGCGCATTGCTGCGGGAATTTAGTATGATAACAATAAAAAAAATAACATATAAGATGGCTAGATAACATCAGATTAAGTAAATTAATGTGGTTTATGATAATTTAAATTTAAATAGTATGTAGAATGGTGATTCAAACGTAAAAAGTAAGCTGGTATGACTTTATGGAAGAAGAAAAGTAGGGAGATATATTAATCATCTAAAGACTAAAAACAATTGATGTGATATGACTTAATTAAAGGAAAAAAGAGAAAGATAATTTGGACCATAGATTAATCATTTAAGCACTAACTAAGTGAGGATAAACTATATACTTTATATCATAAAACATAATAAAGATATACATTGAAACATTATGTGAATTATGTTGGATGATAATTTAACATGTTTGTATTTTAAAAGCTCTTAAATTATAAAAACTATAAATATATAGCATGTTTGCATGATGTTTAAATGTGATGAGTGCTAATGGATGATGATGTGACATCTTGTTAATTAGTGGATGATGATGTGGCATCTTGTTAGTGGATGATGATGTGGCATCTGTGCATGTCAAGCTTAAGAAATTAGTGGGGGATAACTTTATAGTAAGATAGGATTCAATCTCTTTCTTATAGAAATCCTATTTGCCCCATCTAGGACATTTGATTCTATATACAGGTGGCAGCGCCATTCCCCCACCCCACCGTCTTCCCATCTCTAGCAACTCGCACTGCCGGAGATGCCATCGCAATACACTGCCTCCTAACCCCATAGTCTTTCTTGTCCCTTTCACTGACCTCTCCCACTCTCGACCTCTACCTCTGTAGCTCTAGCGACACTTTCGCTGCCTTGCCACCCTTTCGTTGCTGCTACCTACCACCATTGTGACTGCCGACCATGGCCATCCCTCTAAACCCGAGAAACCCCATCTTCCCCCTCTTCAGCCTCATCTCTTACCCCGAAATTCTAAACTCTAACCTCACCGCTGCCGCCATTGCTGCGTCACCGTTGGAGGAGACGACCTTACCGTCGCTAGAGAAGAGGATCGACTTGCAGTCACTACCACCCTTACTATGAAAAGTCGTCGTTGTCGGTTAGTCCCTCTCGTTCTTCCTCCATAGTAATAACCTATATTATATAGTTAAAAGATGTTTCATTATATGCCCTTTATATGCCTAGTCTTTCAAATTTGCTCATAGATAGGGTGTGCGTATGTGTTTATAGGGGTGAGCGTGCACGTTGTGAGCACATGCATTTGTATTGTGTTTCTGGAAAACTCTCAAATGTGAACTTCTCTACTGACTCAACATACATAGATTTTATCCCCTCTTTTTTATAGATGACACCATTAACTTTTGGACATGTATTTGATCATTTGTCTTATTTAAAAATTTAATACAAATGCATAAGATATAAACTATGCTTGCTTAAAGTATTTTAAGTGATAAGACAACACATAACAAAATAAATAATAATAATTATATAGCTTTTTAATAAGATAAATGGTTAAATGTGTGTTAAAAATCAATAGCGTCATGTATCAAGTATTAAAAGAACTGAGGTAGTAACCACTGATTTGCCATTTGCCATGTTGTTTGTTTCGGCTGTGTTCTTTTAGTAGTTGGAAACTGCTTCCCTATACATGGACAACAATACAGCAGATTTACGTATGATTTATTACATATTAACTAGTTTTTTTAAGTAACTTTTCTATATTTTTTTAAAATACATAGTTTAATAATTTGAAAATAGTGCGTACAAAAAACGAGAAAGATGGAGTTGTCAACTTGACTAGTTTGCTTCCATGAGACAGAGAGTAAGCTGCAACCAAACTCGTTCGCTTTTTGCTCGTCAACACCTCCCAGCTCACACCTGTTCATGTAGCTCAATTCTTCTCTTCAACGACATTGCGTGGAGAGAAATGCATGCGCAGGCACAGAGATCCGAGCCACCGCGAGCACTGGAGTGCGCCCTAAGCAGAAGCACTGATCTGGATTCATGGCTAAAAAATCAATCCAAAGAGACAAAGAAAAGCTAGGCAGGCAGCGGGTGATAGGAACCGCGACGCCATTGGCGCTTCTTCTGTCTTGGTGGTTGCCGTGCCTGCGCGCATCGATGGAGGGGTTCTGCTTCGCGCGGTGCCGCTTCACGCGGCTGGTGGTGGCGATGCAGCTGGTGATGGGCGTGCTCGTCATCTGCATCAGCATGGCCAGCCTCCACCGCTTCTACACCACCGACGCCCTCCTCCCCGGCGGGCTGGACGACCCCGCCCGCTGCGCCAGGTTCCACGGCGCCGTCGCCGGCGGGTACTCCGGCTTCGACATCCGCGCGCTGGCGGACCGCGTCGACGAGGTGCTCGTCCAGCTCGCCGAGCTGCAGGACAAGCTGGAGGCCACGGCGCTCAAGATCGGCAAGAAGACCAAGAAGAGGAAGGGGAAGGGGAAGCTGCAGCAGCAGGAGAACATGACCATGACGGAGTTCCAGCGATTCCTGGAGGACGAGGTGATCCACCCGCTGTACGGCGCGCACATCGTGCTCCGGCTGATCCGCATCCCCCGCCCCGACCCCGACGGCGGCGCCCCGGCCGTCGACCCGCTGGTCAACTTCTTCGCCGCGGAGGAGACGCGCAAGTACGTGACGGCGAAGCGCAACCGCGAGGGGCGGCCGGGCGCGTACGGCGCGAACCGGACGTACGGCAGCATCGGGCACGCGTGCGTGGTGATGCGGCGGGAGCTGGACGAGTACATGAGCTACGACGTGGGCGCGCTCTGCCCCGACGACTGGGACCTCGGCCAGCGCCTGATGCTCGGCGGCTGCGACCCCCTCCCCCGGCGTCGCTGCCTCGCCCGCGCCTCCAAGCTGTTCCGCCGGCCGCTCCCCATCAACGAGTCGCTGTGGGCGCTCCCCGACGACGGCAACGTCCGGTGGAGCCGCTACCACTGCCGCGGCTACCGGTGCCTGTCGGCCCGCAACCCGCGGCGCGGCTACGACCGGTGCGTGGGCTGCTTCGACATGGACAGGGAGAAGCAGCGGTGGATGCAGGGCAGCAACGGCACCACCCTGGCCGACTTCCGGATGGAGGAGGTGCTGGCGGTGAAGCCCGGGGAGATACGGGTGGGGCTGGACGTGACGGTGGGGACGGGGAGCTTCGCGGCGAGGATGAGGGAGCGAGGGGTGACGGTGGTGACGACGGCGGTGAACCTGGGGGCGCCGTTCGCGGAGACGGTGGCGCTGCGTGGGCTGGTGGCGCTGTACGCCGGGCTGGGGCAGAGGCTGCCGCTGTTCGACAACAGCATGGACATGGTGCACACGGGCGGGGTGCTGGATGGTTGGGTGGACCTGCAGATGCTGGACTTCGTGCTCTTCGACTGGGACCGGGTGCTCCGCCCCGGTGGCCTCCTCTGGGTGGACAAGTTCGCCTGCGCGCGCAAGGACCTCGACGACTACATGTACATGTTCCTCCAGTTCCGCTACAAGAAGCACCGCTGGGTCGTCTCCTTCAAGTCCAGGGACGAGGTCTACCTCTCCGCCCTGCTCGAGAAGCCGCTACGCTCATGATCCACCAGCTCGTATCTCTCTTAGTTACGCTGCAATGCTGCGTCTGATATGTGTTGCTGTTAATCTTAGTAGCTCTGATTCATCTGACACCTCGATGAATAAATACAATTATCTATCTATTATATTATTAAAGAAATAGAAAAAGGAGTATTCACGTTCGTTCTCATGGTCTAGAAATTCTCACATTAATCGGAGAAAAAGAAATAACAGAGTCCATATAGAAATACAATTTAGAAATAGCTAAAATTCGAAATTAAAAAATAAGGAATATTAGAAGAGCAGACTAGAGTCCGTATAGAAATACAATTTAGAAATAGCTAAAATTCGGAATTAAAAAATAAGGAATATTAGAAGAGGAGACTAGAGTTCGTTAGAGTTCGTATAGAAATACAATTAGAAAATAACTGAAATTTGAAATTAAAAATAAGGAATATTATAAGTAGAGTATATAGTCCATATAGAAATATAATTAGGAAATAATAGAAATTCGGAATTAAAAATAAGGAATATTAGAAGTAGAATATAGAATCCATATAGAAATACAATTGAGAAAAAAAATAGAAATTCGGAATTAAAAAATAAGGATTATTAGAAGAGGAGACTAGAGTCCATATAGAAATACAATTAAGAAATAATAGAAATTCGGAATTAAAAATAAGGAATATTAGAAGTAGAGTATAGAATCCATATGGAAATACAATTTAGAAATAACTGAAATTCGGAATTAAAAAATAAGGAATATTAGAAGAGGAGACTAGAGTCCGTATAGAAATACAATTTAGAAATAGCTGAAATTCGAAATTTAAAAATAAGAAATATTAGAAGAGTAGACTAGAGTCCGTATAGAAATACAATTAGGAAATAACTGAAATTTAGAATTAAAAAAAATAAGGAATATTAGAAGAGGAGACTAGAGTCCATATAGAAATACAATTAGGAAATAACTGAAATTTAGAATTAAAAATAAGGAATATTAGAAGTAGAGTATAGGGTCCATATAGAAATACAATTAGGAAATAATAGAAATTCGGAATTAAAAATAAGGAATATTAGAAGTAGAGTATGGAGTCCATATAGAAATACAATTAAGAAAAAAAATATAAATTCGGAATTAAAAAATAAGGAATGTTAGAAGTAGTCCATATAGGAGTTTAAAACTAACTTAAAATTCGGAATTAACAAAATAAAATGAAAAGTAGTGTTTAAAGTCCATATAAAAATATAATTTACAAATAACTAAAATTTGAAATTGAGAAAAACATGGGAATAAGAGTTTAAAGTCAATATAGAAATACAATTTAGAGGTAACTGAAATTTGAAATTTAAAATTAAAAAATATTGAAAGATGAATTTAGAGGCCACATAGAAATACAATTAGAAATAATAAAAATTCAGAATTAAAAAAATAAATATTAAAAGACGAGTCTAGAGTCCATATAGGAATATATATAATTTACAAATAACTAAAATTCGATATTAAAAATAATTAATAACTTACACGTATATAAAATACAATATGAATATTACATATTAGTAGTTTTGTAAAGTTATTGCAAAATTTAAAATTATGTTGTCATTGTAATATATTTTAATAATATAATGAGAAAACATATATGCTATTATATGATAGAAAAATATAATGATGCTAGCCGCGCAATCTGCGCGGCCACTATGCTAGTTATTATTATACAGAGGGAAAGTTAAAAAATTCCATCTGCAGGGTTGCCGGATGTGGATTAATGTCCAAAAAATCTGCAGGGTTTGCTCTGTTCTGAATTAAGGTGAATTTGAATATAATAAATACTTAGAAGGCAAATCAATCCTAAATTCAATGTGGGTTGCTAGATCTGTTCATTAGGATCTTGGACATCAAAAGTAATGTCATCAGACTTCCGAACTTCTGTCGAACAGGTGAAAGGGGAAACCAACCCATTTTCTTGTCAGGGTCTCGGGTGGGCTGTACATGGAACAGCTGGCTGCACCACGGGCTGGTCAGCCCATCGCTAAGAAGCCCAAGCAAGCCCAAGCTGAAGCAATACATAAGCAGCAATAGCTTATAGGATAACATCGATCGATCAATTGGCCAAGGCGGTGAACGGCGGCGGCGACCTGGAGGCGTGCTTGCCTCCTTGTCGATCTCCACCTTCCCTCTTCCTCTACTTGTCCAGAAGCTACTGGAACTTTCTAGCCCTTGTAACAGATTCGGTTGCTCCTTGTGCTGGATTTTGGTACTACTACTTCTGGAATTGCATTGTTGAAGTGCGTCTCTAACATTTCTCTATCTTCCTTTGCCGGGATTACAAACTTCGGGCAGGAACATGTGAGTTCATCAATATTCTTGCATACAAAACTTTTCCTTTATTTTTCTGTATTTTCCCTCAACCTCTCTGTTTTTTTCGGAAAAGAAAAACAAAAATATTAATCATGTTGAGTTGGCTAAAAACATGCCTTCCAGAAATTCCCCTTGTTGCGATGTGCTTTTGCTGCCTGAACCAGCCCATTGGACTGAAATAGTTTTGAGCCCATTTGACAGGAAAATGGATCCGCGTTTCATTGTGTCCCTTCTCCAGACGCCTCCGCACGCAAGACTAGCTGCTGAATTGCTGACGCATGGCGTTCAGCCCTTATCCAAGGCCGGTGCTCGCATCGCCGTTCTTTTTTCTTTTTGGCAAAAGTCCATTTTGCGCCCTCAAAACCCTTATGCGTGTCTAAAATACACCTTGAATAACAAAACCGGGTATAATACACCCTGGAACTGCCAATACCGGATGCTTAACATCCTCCGGGCTGTTTTTACCGTGGTTTTTGACATATAGGATGCCACATTAGTCCTCGCCACATCAGCGCATTGGATTGTCTTAAGTGTGTGTGGGCCGGGATTCTCTCTCACACAGACATGCTCTCTTTCTCTTCTCTTGTTAGGTTTATATGGGTCTATCCGGTATACCCTCTATTCCTCTACCTTTTCTCTGGTGCCGCTATTTATAGACTCCAATTCAAGATATACACTATATCTATTTCTGGTACACCGTTATTGATGTGACCATGCCTACAACGGATACAACCATTGATCATGTCATATACCCACAGGTGATCTCATTTTATAACAAGTGCCAATTTAATCTAATCAAGAATATGACACTACCTCATAATGTATGCGTTTATATGTTTAGGACCAATCCACTTATTTGGGGCTGCATATGGAAGATAAACACGATGGCCATGGTGCATGCAGAGATGGAGATGAAGTCCGCTGCGTTCTGGAATCCAATTCGGCCACCTGAGATAGTGCTGAATTCAAACGGTTGCCAAATCTCCATATGGCCTCCGTTTTGGGCCCATGAGTTCTTGATGGAAAGCTCTCGGAATCCTCTTTCCAACGGATCCAACCTCATTGTCAAATTCCATCTGAGTCATCGGCAATTGAAGAAACAAGGGGCTGCATTGTCTGTAATGGGCCTATAGGCCTGTAACTTCATCTGGGACCCCGGCCCAAGTAGGGCCCAAGGGGGGTTGCGCCCCAAACAGAGGGAGGACGCTCTTCTGACCTCCTCGATCCCTTAAATAGCTAGTAACCCCTTCAGGGTTAGTTGGGTTTTGTTTAGATGAAATTTTAGCCATTGCTACTTCCTTGCAGCGCGCGTGTCGGCTAGACCGTCCGTCTGCTTGTATACGAAACCCCAACTTATCGTGTGTAGTCAATTCCTATTTGCAATATCAGATTGCTTTTATCTTGTTCTTGCTTGTTTCTTCGATTTGCTTGCAGGAATAAGGTTGATCTGCACCGGCAAGATCAACAACCCACGGAGAGGTGTATCGATCGCAAAGGCGCAACACAACATCTTGTACGGTTGTAGTCGGGTCGTCAACGTCTTTTCCACAAATCGTAGTTATCTCAACTCACCGAAAGATCGGGCCAATCAACTGCCTTGAGTGTCGAGAGGAACTCAGGGTTCATCAGGTGGTATTAGAGCTTTCGTTGCTCGGTGAGTTTTTATCTACCTATAACTAGAAAATTGCCCTACAAAAAAAATTTCATCCTGTACCTAGCCATCTTTTTGCCATTGCATTGTTCATTTCAGTTTTTGCTTTGTTGAGTTTGCGTTGCATCGTCTAGTCGTGTTGCTAGTCTTAGAGTTTAGTCCGTTTAGAGTTTCGAGTTCTAGACACGTTATGTACCACAGTCGTCGCCCCCGTCGTGTCTTTGTTGTCGTCGGGACCTAGGAAAACGGAATCGTCTTGTTGTCGGAGCTTCGTTTTTCTAGTTTCCAGAAGTTTTTGTCGGTCGGTTTTGGAGTTTTTGAGTTGCATATAAGGTCGCTGAGTTGGCCGTGTTTATGTTTCGGCCGTGCTTGTGTTCGTGCACGAGAGGAGGAAGAAAAGTTACAAAATCATTTTTTGAAAGTATGCAAGTTAGATCTGGAAAGAAATAGCAGATTGGTTTGGTTTCTATTTGGGGCCGCGCAGAAAAGGTAAAAGGAATCGGTTTCCTTCTTTCAGAATTTTCAGCGAGTCCCACCCCCTTGCATGCGGCATTCCTTCCTCGAGTCGACTCCCTCCTCCAAATCACGTACATCACAAAGTGTGAGTCGTGTCAAACACCTTGGTGAATTTTCGTTTGGTGTCAATTTCGAGATCTGTTTGGAAAAACGGAACCGACATAAATTCAGCATTCCATTTTTTATAATTTTTAATTTTGGTTTGGACTTTTACATTTGAGTCCCAGTAAATTTTATATTTACATTTGAGTCCTTGTAACTTTGCATTTTGGTCCTTGGTCAGTTCTGGTCAGAAAAAAAATGGAAAAAAGATAAAAAAAGAAAAGGCAGAAAGGTGCTAAAAAAGAAAAGAGAAAAGCCGCACCGAAAAAAAGTGTGAAAAAAAAGAAAAAAAAAGAAGAGACAAGGAAAAAATTCAGTTTATTCTTGATCTTGGTTTTGTATATCAGAGTGATGCTTGAGTTGATTCTAGTGTTATCTTGTGGTATCGTTTGTGTCTAGGCTCGCGTCTCTAGTTCGTTCTAGCCTAGGACCAGCACGATACTTGAAGTTGAACGATTATTCAACTTTGCATTCTCTGATTTGACCATTTGCCATCCTTGCTACATATTTAAGCCTACCAGAGCTCCACAGATTTGACTGCAGCTA